TAACATGCATTAATATATTAATAAATTAGTTAATAATATATATTATTAGGATAGATATATAATATATATTAAATATGGTATATACATAGTATTGATAGTATAGATATACATTCAAGGTAATTTTGGTCATTTTGGGAAACGAGACAGTGAGGGAACATGGAAGTACTGAGTCCAGTTTCTTCATCTGCAATGAAAAAAGTGAAGTTTAGAGATTGAGGGAAGTCGTCAAGATCATAGCATCCCTCAACCAGTTAGGGAATGGATTTGATGCTGAGAAGATGTCACCGACCGCGAAAACTTCCTCCAAACCAGACTTGATTTATGGACCCTTAGGATTAAGAAGGTTTCACACAGAAATGGTTTGTATCCTGAGCTACATACTCATAGCCTTTATGTTCTTACTCTTATTACTTCAGACTCGTATTACTTTATACAAACTTTCTGTAACTGACTATTCTATAGGATGCAGATAATGGTGATTAAGAGTTAAAGAATGAGCTCTTCCAGTGACCTGTCCGATCTGTGTCTTGACTTTCCTTACTGTTATGCTGATTCCCTCTGGAACTTATTGCTTCCAAGCATACCGTGTCTCTGAAGGAAATAAACAGGATATGGCCCTCCACCCAAAAGAATTTGGGTCTTTGATTTTGTCTTCACCTAAATAGCTTCATCCTCTAATGCCATGGACCTGCTCTATCTTTTATTTTTGCACTTTGCACCCTTTGGAGTTTCTCCTCTACCCCAGCATGAAGTAGGTGAGAAGCTAGAAGTTCCCCTAGATTTGAAGTGTGGGATCCAAGAGAAATTCACAACTCAGAGATGCTATCTACCATCACAAACTCCTCATTGCTATAGTTGTACCAAGTGGTCTTAAGGTATGCAAGAGGCAGAGAAATATCTCCAAGTATCTCGAAGTATCACCATACAGCTCTGATTAGAAGATGTACATCCAAACTGAACGCCTCATTTTCTTCATTTGTAAAAATAGAGCTAATAATGGTGAAAACATAATAGTTATTATCTGTGGTGGCCATTAAACAAGGCATCTATATAAAGCACTTAACAATTAGCTAGCCTGTAATATTTAATAAAGAAAGCTATTACACTGCTATTTGTAACTTGCATTTCTTATTTAACGTATGTGTTATAAATCTTTATGTGTCAGAACATAGTCATAAACTGTAGTCATATTCAATAACCAATTTATCATGACTATTTTAACTCATTGTTTACTTCAATTATTTTGAATTATTCTTTATTTAAAGCAATATTTATGTAATGCCCATAAGCCAACATATTTCTGGGTTAAATACATATAAGTGGGGTATTTGGATCAAGGAATATGAATATATATGTTAATAATATTGCCAAATTGATGTGCTAATTAATACTTCTGAGAACACTGTTCTTAATAATTATATCATTATCACATTCATAAACTGCATATTACTAATCTAACAGATAAGAAATACTCATTGTTTTAAAATCCTTGATCTGGGGGCACCTGGCTGGCTCAGTCATGTGAATTCTTGATCTTGGGGCTATGAGTTTAAGCCCCACGTTGGGCATAGAGATCATTAAAATAATAATAATAATAATAAAATCCTTGATCCAGTTTTTGTGAGTCTTTAAAAAAATAGTTTCATCTTATTTATTATAAAAACAATGGGTGCTTATTCTAGAGAGATCAAAACACAATCAAAAGAGTATTAAAAACATACACAATTTTATCTTCCTATGTGGTAAATATTTTCCATTTTTTAAATTAAGGTGTAATATGCATACAGTAAAATTCATTGTTATTAGTGCAAAGTTCTTTGAGGTTCTTTTTAAAGATTTTATTTATTTATTTATAGAGTGTGCATGAGCAAGGGGAGGGGTAAAGGGACAGGGAGAAAGAGAAAGAATCTGTTGGGTTTTTTTTTAAGATTTTATTTATTTATTTATTTATTTATTTGACAGAGAGAAAGACAGCAAGAGAGGGAACACAAGCAGGGGGAGTGGGAGAGGGAGAAGCAGGCTTCCCGCAGAGCAGGGAGCCTGATGTGGGGTTCGATCCCAAGACCCTGGGATCATGACCTGAGCTGAAGGCAGACACTTAACAACTGAGCCACCCAGGCACCCCAAAGAGAAAAAATCTCAAGCAGACTCCTCGCTGAATGAGGAGCCCGACACCGGGCTCAATCTCATGACCCTGAGATCATGACCTGAGCCAAAATCAAGAGCCACCAGGCACCCAAAGTTCTTTGAGTTTTTACAAGTGCATGCTGTTTAACCACCACAAAATCAAGATCTAGAACAGTTGAACTGTAGCCAAAATTTCTTTCATGCTACTTTATTATTTACTCTTCCCCCGATTCCAGGCTCCTGACAACCACTGATATAGTTTCTTTTTTTTTTTAAGTTAAATCTACTATTAAAGTATAATCGATGTACAATATTATATTAATTTTAGGTGTACAACATATTGATTCAGCAATTCTGTACATTATTCAATACCCACCATAAGTGTGGTCCACCTCTGTCACCATACATGATTATAATATTATCGACTATATTCCCTATGCTGTACTTTTCATCTCCATGACTTATTTATTTTATACTTTTGCCTGTTCCAGAATTTCACAAAGTGGAATTAAAAATGTATATACGGGGCACCTGAGTGGCACCATTGGTTAAGCGTCCAACTCTTGATTTCGGCTCAGGTCATGATCTCAGCATCCTGAGATCAAGCCTGGCCACAGGCTCCCCTCTGGTCATGAAGCCTGCTTGAGATTCCCTCACTCTCTCTCTCTCTCTGCCCTAGCCTTTGCTTGTGAGCACTCTCTCTCTCTAAAAAAATAAAATAAAATAAAAATGTGTATAGAATTCTGAGTCAGGCTTCTTTCACTTAGTATGATACATTTATGATTCATCCATGTAGTTGTGTGTATCTGTAGTTTATTCTTTTTTTGTTGTATGGAATTCAATTGTGTGGATCTACCAAAGTTTGTTTATCCATTCCCCAGGTGAGGAACAATTGAGTGGTGTACATTTTTGCCTAATTACACAACAAACTTCTAGAAGTATTCACATACAGATGTTTGTGTGGACACAGGTTATCATTTCACATGGAAAACCTTGGATCAAGATGCTGGTTCATGCAAGCATATGCTTAAATTTACAAGAAATTTCCAAACTGCTTTCTAAAGTGACTGTAACATTGTTCATTCCCATCTGCAGTGTGTGAACATTTCATTGGCTCTGCATCCTCCATGGGCTCAGCCTTGCATGTATGTGTTAACTTTTTAAAAAGCCTGCAGAATGCTTTTGCTAAGTGGTTGTGTCATTTGACGCTCCTACGGTTCCGGTTCCTTCCTGACCCCATCAGTACTTGGCGTGGCCAGTCTTTTTCAATTTCAGCCCATAGCAGCTTTAATGTGAATTTCCCCTAAAGACCAATTA